TAAAAAGTAAAAAAAATTAATAATTAACAATTAGTGATTAAAGTATAACAAAAATTAGTGATTAATGTAAAAAATAAAAAAATTAGTAATTAAAATATTAATCTTCAATACAATTTAATACATTTATAAATCTGACATATCTTATATGTACATATCTTAAAAAATATCTGTGTATAGATATTTTAAAAAATATTTAACTATCTTTTTCTTGTTCATATTTATTATAAAAATGAGAAAAAATTTTTTATAGCCATAACGTCATTTATTATAAGTAAATATAGTTTTAATAATTGACTAAAAAGCTGATTGATTAAAAAGCATTCAAAAATATCGCTATATGTTTCAATCATTATGAAAAATAATTTATTAAATTTATTAAATTAAAATAATGATGACTTAGAAATGTTTTTGAGAATAATTCTTTAATAATTCTTGGTAAACGTTTTAATTTACACAGGATTCTTCTATTCTTATGATATATTTAGTAATTTTCAATCATTTTAATTCTTTCTAATTCCTTATCGATTACGCTGTTGTTATATTTGGGATAGTGAATCTATACAAGACTGCCTGCATATAGAGAGAATAATACATATTGCCGTACTGTCAAGCGAATAATATGTTTATTGCGATATTATTATCCAGCGATCATATAAAACTCATTTGAAGTTTGCATTATCGTTAAATAATCCGCAAGTAAATTTGCACGAATATTGAACGGCTTTTAATGTTTGTTACAAATTTACCGTTTGTTATTAAAATAGTTTGACATTTATCAAAATATCAAGGCAAAAATATATCAAGCAAATTCAAGATAAGATGAAGGAAATATTGGTTTTAAATTGTTTGACACAAATGTTAGTAAAGATATTTATAAATGTATATAATAAAAATATCTATACATATATTAATATATAATATATATATATATATATATTTTTTTTTTTTTTTCTTGTAAAATTGAATTTTGTATGTGTGAATTTGAATCAAATGTATTCACTTGGAACAATTCTGCTCATTTTTCTACATTAGATATTATTAATATTTTATATTTTCAAATAAAATACCTTTAAATTTGTATTCATTTATCATAATTATTAGTTAAAGAATCTAATGTCATCTCTTTACTTTACTTAACACATTTATTATATACTTAGAAAAATGTCAAACTATCAAATATAATTCGGAGTCGTGATGTGCAACTATCTAGACAGAATGCATCCGACTCGAAAATAGTTATCCTAAAAATGGAAAGTATTAATGATGCTTAGTGTATAAAATACCATCTATGTTCACGCGCAAATGAATGTGATTCGTGCTGTTTTTTTATGAGAGTACCGTTCGCATATATGTATGTACACCTGAAGAGAACAAATTATTTTCAGGTATTCGCCTGTTTTTCCTCTAAACCACCGTCGCGTGACCAACGCTTTTCATAAAATTCCATTTTCGTTATATTATGCAATCAAACTCGTTATCGTTATTACCTCGTTTTATCCGCTCTTACGATTTCATTTTTATGCGTAAATTTTAAATCCACTATTCAAAAGTCAAAGTTGCAATGTTTTTTTTTTATTTTGAAATAAAAGATTGAGAAGACATTTCAATTATTTAAATTTTTAATTAATTATAAAGTAGCACTTTAAAAAATAAAATTTTATATATCAAATTCAAAATCAAATTAATCCAAATAATATATAAAGAATTTAAAATAAAGAAAGATGCAAAAATTAAAAATTTGTAACTGATTCTCATTCAAAATTTAACAGTTTAATCCAATTTCTGTTTGTGACTTCTTTGTAATATAATGTAAATGTATACTGTGAACAAAGATAATAAGTACCCTCTTATCATATAAAATATCTGGACCCGAATGCGCGACTCTTCATCATTCACGGAGGGCTGCTCTGGACGCAAGAAGCGATTTACTGTGGGGTGCTGATCTTAGAAATGTCCCTTCTCGACGATCAGTTTTGAGCATGGCCTACTTCGTGTGGAAAAGGGATTGATACTGCAGTTCGATTTTCCCAACGGTTCTCATACAGAACATTATCGAGCAGTTTAAACGAAATATTAAACAAAGATTTAAAAAACTAAAATTTTTATATACAAAATATTAATTTTTCGTATTTAAAACTTTCTATAAATTATTATTATTTTTTATACTTCTTTATATTACTCGATATTTTTCGTATATATCAACTGATACGTTTAAAGTGTTAAAGATTTTAATTAATCGGTAAAAGAAAAAAGTTACCGATTCCGTAAGCATCTGTCAGAAGCATCTGTTTCAATAAGTAGGTAAAACTGCTCAAGTATTGTACTGCTCAACAAGTTATTCGAAGCCTGCCGATAATTGCCGAATAAACGATCGTAATTTCAAATTAATTGAATTTTTTTCTCTCAATATTCGAAAATCCTAATACAATTTAACATAGCTGATAAATACAGTTGAGAGGCACGGTTTTTCATGCATTTTTAAAATGGAAAAAAGATGTCTCTTTAAAGCAAATTTTCATTGTAAATGAATTATGTATTTTAATCTAAATTCAATACTTTTACTAGAATATCTTAATATACCAAAGTAAATAATTTATGTTATTAGAAAATAATACACATTCTCGCCAGAATTATCGATATTGTTTTTCTATGCATGTATGTATATATGTTTCAATTTCAGTTTCTCTCCCATATACATATATAATACTTGAATGAAGCGAAATAATACAATTGACAAAAATATTAGAATTTGATTTATTTATTTTTTATCTCACGAATATTATTAAACAAACCATGCTATTATATTTTAAATAGATATATGCTTAACTTAGTATAAAAATTAAATCCATTTTCATGGTAAAACTCATTTTTTCATACAAAAATAAACTCTCACGAGAAATTGCACTCATATAGATTCATAGAAAAATTCCGTCGTTTTTTTGAAGCTGTCAGTTCAATTAAAATAAATTGCGTCGTTATTTTAACATTTATAACGAGCTTTTGCTTTAACTTTGATATGAATTATTCTTCAAAACACACGGCAAAAGGGGCTCGAGCATAACCGAGTGTGTACACCTGTACATACTCAGTTTCAACAACACAATGCCGACGCGTTGTTACATTAATTGTAAGAGTCGTCTTATACTACGGAAAGAAGCTTTTGCATATTTCAGCCTTATATCACTCACGCGCTTTATTATAAATGTGTGTAGAGAGAACCAAAACAGGAAACCGGAAAAGCCAAGCGTGCTCGCTTGGCTTTCGTAGGGAGAATAAAAGCGCAGTATAAATTGGGGTAAAGCCATTGGCTCCTTTGTGCTCCTGTGAATGCAATTCAATAAAGTGTTTAGAGTGAAAAGCAGCACAAAAGAAGTCTGGCGATAAATGACAATTTGCTGAAGTTGGCAATTACGGTGAAGTACGCTGCTGTTGAAAGGTGGTCTTAATGGAACATTGTTAAAAAGTATGCAACAATAGAAGATAGACTAATAGGCGTCAGAGCGCAGATTTCATCATGATTTTTTTTCAGAATAATTCAGGTTCAAGTGCCTTCTTTGCATTTTATGCTAAAATAATAAATCTCTTGTAAATTTAATTTATTATGAATCTTATCACACTATTCGAATTTTGCCGAAGCTGATTTATCGTTTCTGCGAACGTTGCATATATCTGAAACAAGATTTATTATAAAGTTAAAGTTTTTCGTTAATGCTAAAACACACTAATCATTTAGTAAAGATTTGATTTTCAACACTATTTTTAACATAAACAGCGATTTGAATCTTATTTAACTTTGCAATTTATTTTTAAAACTAATAATATTACAATACAAAAAAATATAATTGTTTTAATACATATGTATAAGTCGTTTAACGTAAATTTTACAGAGGTAAAAGTTGACTTTCTATAAATATTCGAAAATATTGGAAAACCCAAAAATACTGACACATATTTCTAATTTAATTTATTTTAAATGAGAGCTGTACCTATTGTGCGAACATTCCATTTGATATTAAATATCGAGAAAAGCACAATGTGTGTGTTATATAATAACAACAACATTGTTGGTTTTTTATCAATTCAATTAGCTTCTAGTGAGCGTTTTCGAGAGAAATAGTTTTCGCATTGTTCTGCAAACGTTCTCTATCTCTGCGAAATATTCTTTCATAAAACTGATAACTGTGAAAGTTCTAGGTTGGTAATAATGGATTTAACGAATTGGCGTCGTCGACTTGCGACACATCATTGAATTTTCATTATCGTAAGCTGACAATAATATCGAATAAGTGTCGATATAATATCGCACGCTGGATGACAGCGTAACCGTTTGCTGCGAGAAGTTTCCTTCCGTGTGCTTGTTACCTGACGGTTTTTTTTTTCATCACCTCGTCATAGACAGAAATGGGGCGAAATGGGAGAAGAACTGCTCCGCGTCTAATGAGCCTCTAGTTGACATCCGACTAGTGCGGATAAGTATCGTCAAGCAGTGACATTCTCTCGAGGGCGCACTTCCGTAGTCAAGAGAAGTCAACGGACATATCTTTTTTTTTTCCCGAAAAGAAATGTGTTGCATCGTCAACATTTTTTATCCAAGAGAGAATGTAACTAAAGATTATATATAAATTTAATTTGTATAAATTATATTTATATAACATTTTCTTTTGAATTTAACATATCATTCTTCGTGATAAATAGAACATTAATACTTTTGTAAACTGCATAATATTCAGAGTATTGATCAATATATATATATATAGAATGTCCCACTTTCAACGTGTATGTCATTGTCAAGAAGGCCCTTTACGTATGCATCGTATTGAATTTATGTTTCAAACTACGCGTATGGTACTACGCTACGTATGTGACAGCATTCTGTCTGTATCGCTTGAAGTTTTGCTCGATTCTGCTTGAATAGGCAACGATCGAGCGGATCCGTGAAAGGCAAATACACAAAATATAGGTTACATATCGCTTCGTTGCCCTTTTATGCTTTTTCGAACATGAGGTCGCAAATATTGAGCTCCTTTTTAAGACACGGGCATCTGCCTATAAGGGAGGTAAATTGTTATCGACGTCTCTTCCAGTTTGCGTCTCGTCGAGTTCTTCGTCAAATCTTTTTTTCAGGATGATTGCTCGTACGTTTGGCAAGTTTCCGCCGTGGAACGTTGCGAATGGGTGAGGAGCACTGAAGATTGCTACTCAGACTCAGTGATTCAGTACACGGTACTGTTGTTTTGCTTCTTCAGATCCGAAAACGTATACTTGTTTGTTAGCGGTTTGGTGCTCGTGCTCTTATGGCTGCTCTATTTATTCTTGATCTTGGGAACCACGGCAGATAACTTGTAAGTTGATTCATTCTGATATTTATATAACCGGAAATCATTATATATCATTTTCAATTTCTAATTGAACGGATAATTATCGGTAGACAATTTTTATTTATAAATTTTATTAAATTTCTGAATAAATCGTTATATATTTTAACATGTAAATTTACTTAATCAAGCGCAAGTGAATAAATAAGTGAATAAATAAATATGAAAATAAATAAATACAAAATGATTTATTTTATATAAATATAGATTATGAGAACACAATGGGTAAGTACAGATAATAAAATTGCATCTTATCTTAGTACCGACCTTGGAAACTTTGGCCAAGTTTAATTCCGATGAAAACCATATGTTACCGTACACAGAATATATGTATGTAGATGATTATGTAACTACAAGCAAATTTTGACTTTTGGCAAGTAACCAAACCAATAATTTAAAGATTCATGTTTCCTCATATTTCAACAGTCTACATTCTATATATATATATATACGCAGTGGTTTCTCTCAAAATGATAAACAAAGGGTTTCCTTAGGTTCGTTCAGGTTATACAAATATTAGAAAAAGATGGCAGATTGCCATGTATTCAATCATAGGTCTCGAAATCCCACAAATCGAGATTTTTCAATGCATTTTTTCCGTTTTTAATAATTACTACCGTTGACGCAAAAATATCATTGTTTGATTCTGATATTTTTTAAAAGTTTACATACACTTTTCTATAAAATATATAATAAATAAAAATTAAAATAAATAAATAAATAAAAATTTTTAATTATTAATTTTTTATTGTAATAATGTATTGTGCACCAGCTACTGAATAAATCAGCACGCGTTTTATAATATATAAACAACATATAAATTTAACGAGATTTATTAAATTTTTATTCGCAGTATTTATATTCAAAATTATATTCTTGTTTTTATGCAATCATCATCTAAATTTCTGATACTTTTAAAAATCGCTAAAGAGTTCGTAATATTTATTTTTCTGCGCTTAATGATAAAGAAATGCAACCGCGCTATATCGTAAAGTTTAGTGAAATTCTGCTTTGATCTATATTTAATATAATAATTAATATAAAAACATTCGGACATTAAATTTATTTTCTTATATAAATAATATTATGTGACATAATATTATATATTTTCTGTAAATTTTAGTGAAAGATATGAGATATTAATTAAATATAATGTGCTTAAATGAAAGCTTGTCCAAAAGTTATTTCTTTTTCAAGCCGAATGTTTTATATATTTTATGCTTCATTAATAAAATCGTTATACCAATGTAAGTATGGACATTTCGTTAAATCCTAAATAAAGTTGTATGTTACCAAAATAAAATTTTGTAATTTTGCTTTTCATGATAAAATATACAAATTATAAGAAGAATATATTATAATTAAAAATAAAAGAAATTTAATTTAAATTAGTAATTTGCTACATAAATTAAATTCGAGAAAAAATTCTCAATTACTCCTCCAATTAATTCTCATTACTTATATTTATATTATAATCTTCAATATCATTACTTATATTTATATTACAATTAAAAAACTTTTCTACAAATTAGTTATGTCATAAATATCGAAATCGAGATATATATATATATGTTATGAATTAATCACTACAATATTTTTATTTCAGTTTTTGTCCAGCACTGGCGGTAATAGCCAGTGTAATGCGTCTATCGGATAACATAGCTGGAGTGACGATATTGGCATTTGGAAACGGCGCGCCTGACATCTTCACGTCCCTCGTGTCGAGAGGCAACGGAGAGATAATAATGTTCACTGAATTAATCGGAGCGGGTGTCTTCGTGACCTCGATGATTGCCGGTTCCGTGGCGATAATTAAACCCTTTAAAGTTTCACTCAAATCTCTCATGAGAGATGCCTGTTTTTATATCGCTTCCATATGCTGGATAAACTACGTAGTGTGGGACGAAATGGTTTACTTTTGGGAAGCCGTAAGTACGTCTATTATTTTTATTCAAATTTGATAAAGTAATATCAATTGACTTTTGCGGATCCATCGTTTTATATTCTTTGTAAACATGAATTGATTATTTCGCGTTCGTAATTAAAAAAATGTAATTTCTTTCTCTTCTGTTTTTTACTTCTTATTTTTACAATCATTGACTTGTAACGAATATAAGATTATAATAATACAAGTACAATCGTAAAAAAGAATTATACTTAAAAAAGTACATTATATTTTTTCATTATATATTTTTCATATAAATTATATATCTTATACTTCACATGTCATATACTTTATAATATTATTGATTGTCATATGTGAGAATTTATATAGGAACCGATTAATTATTATTCCAATGCTAATATTGATGCTTTAGGCTTGAATACATAAGTAAATATATGATTTCCATTATTCTATTCTGTGTTACAAGTGAATGATTGATTAAAATAGATAATAATTTTCGCCAATCTTGCCTTTCAATTAATCTTTTCAAATTGGTAATAAATGAGTGAAATATAATATTATATACATGTTATAATGCGTCATAAATATGTAATTACGTTTATATATACTATAGCAGCATAATTTTATCTATTATTCCAATGAAACATTCAAATGCGTAATTGCCAAGCGAAATGATTAAAACGTGATATTAATTTTATCATATATAGTATATATATGAATAATTAGGATAGTGTTTGGCAAATTTTATCGATATTTCGCACGGCAAATCAGACGCATCATAATGAAAGAGGAAGTTTAACTGCGGGAAGCCATAAGTGATTTCATTCTGGAATAACGATAATTCTTCGGCGAATTTAATTAAGCTACGCCGCAGTCTCTCTCTCCACCACTTGCCGGCTGGGCTTGCAATCTGACTGTCGATGAATTTTTGCGGGATTCCGCGGCAAGGAATCCGTTTCACTGGGAAAGCAGGGATTATTGTTGCAACGGATAAAGTCCAGGGAAATAATTTTGCGCCCGTACAAAGCGCCATTGGCGCAGGTTATTGTTACGCCACGTATAAAGCCGTCGAATATCTTGATTCATCTTCTTCATATCGCGAAACGCGATAGTATTATAAATAGACAGAAACTCAATTTTACTCTAGATGCTTCGTAATTCTCCTCAGCAATGATTTTAATATAGTTGTATGTATATAAATAAGTAAGTTTCAAGGAACAGACAACTTGTGTTTAATATGCGCATTCACTTATTACCTGCTTCATTAAAAGCTCTTAAAAGAATCTTAGAATCCTAGAAAGAACATCTTTTTTATTCAGATTTTAAAAGAAAGAAGTAATTAAGATCTTTTTTCTTCAATTAAAAAGAACACGGTGTCATCGAAGTTTTTTTTGATATCATCTATGTAAGCCATTTATCCCATTGCAAACAGTAAGTATATAAGATAAGAATATAAGATATGAAAATAACTTTATAAATCGAGAGACATTAATGTTTTTTAATATTTAATAAATTTTAATTGCAGGTCTTATTCTGGTCTATGTACTATTTATCGCAGTGATCGTAATAATGCAGACGTATGAGACCAAAGAAGAAAATCTAAAAAGTATAGTATATTACAAAGATCCCTCGACTTATATCGAATCATTCGCGAATTTTTAGTATTTTATTTAGGAATCTCGGATGACAAAAATTAGAATTTATAACTTTCAAAAAATACAAATAAAATTGTACTCTTCTCTGTAAAAGTTTCTAATTTATATTTTAGAGAAATATATTCTTAAGATACCTCTGTATCCCCGGAAATTTTATAATGCGCTTTCGAAAATTATATTTCTACTCCACAATGGGAAATTTCCTTACAACTTCTGAATTCGTTGTAAAGATCTATAAAAGACACGACTATCTTCTATTTTCTCTTTCTTTCTCTTCTTCTTTATCGCCTATAGAAAATTTTCTCCATACTAAGTATCGATCCCTTTTCCCGAGAACATTCTTATGTACTTTCAGCCAGGATCCCAAGTGTACTCGATCCAGACGTCCTGCATACTTACTTGGCGAACAGAGACACAAGCACCATTCCCAAGATTCCCGCTAGAAGCCGACCTTTTGGCTTACGTGCCAAACTAGGTATCGAGCGTCGTTTTTATGACTCATCGCACATATCCATGTCTTTAGTTCTTTTGAATTTTTCAATAGTTCAAATTTTTGCTTTCAGAATCACACATGCATTCTTTCTTGTATTAAATAAATGTATCGATTTCTATTCCCTCTATATTTTCAAAAATTATTATTTCTTTGAAAGTAAGAATCGTGAAATGTGTCTTTTAGCACAATTATGCTCATTGTATATTTCCATTATAAATATTTACATATTTATCTAGCAATTTGCTTGAACGCATAATTTTTTAAAATATGAATGTATGTGTTCGAAAAACGTGTAAGAAAAATAAATATAGAATATAGAATATTTTTTAAATAGTTAATTCTTGCTTTAAAATCGCCATGTATGATTAATTTGAGTGTTCTATGTTTTTATATATGTTTGTTTAAATCAGATATTGCTGTCGCAACGGAAATAGAGAGATCAAAAATACGAGGTGGTCTCGTTCAGTTGAAACCGGAAATTATCGACTACGTTTCCGATAGACCAATAGGTCTTTTCAAAGAATTTTTATACGATGTCAATCCGATCAGTAGAGAAGATTGGAAGAACTCGAATAGATTATTTAAAATCATTCTGATTATACGTTCGCCTGTTATGTTGCTATTGCAACTCTTTATACCAGTTGTGAATCCTACTGCTGAAAAAAGAGGCTGGTCAAAGTTATTGAATTGCTTTCAGTTGTGTACAACACCTACGATAGCGCTATTTCTATTAAATGGTACGTCTAATCTTTATAATATTATAACAATTATATAAAGGCAAAGATATTAAAAATACTGTTTATTGATTTCTGGCCTATTTCTTTCTTGAATAAAATTCCCAACAATATTATAGAACCGTTCTTTAGAATGTGTTTTATTCCAATATGGTAGATGCAAAATCCAGATGGATAGTCAATAACGCATAATCGTCGTATCGACAATCAATGCATATAACACAATCTGTACCACTCAACTTCAATTTCATTTTAACTGTTTTATTGCAGTTTGGCAAACGACTTTTGGCAATGTGCCGATAGTGCCGATATTCCTCGTTGTCGGCACTGTAATTGGTGTAATTGTGTTTCTAACGACTCACGTGGACCGTGTACCAAAATTCCATAATGTAAGTATTTTCTCTTTCTTTTCTGCGCAAGAAAATGATCGAAGCTTTAATAAGTGTTCACGACATCGAAAAATGCGAAAGAGATTAGCAATTTTATTAATTTTGATGATAAAGAATGTAACATAATTTCAGACCTTTGCATTTTTGGGATTTTTCGCTGCCATGTTGACGGTTTATTTGATAGCTCGGGAAGTCATGGCGGTACTTCAATGCATAGGATACGCATGTAGCATATCTGACGCCATGCTGGGTATCACTTTTCTTGCATGGGGGAACAGTGTCGGGGGTGAGTCGCGTTGAAAAATGCTTCTTCTTGCCAAAGTATTTGTGAAAATAAAATAAAATAAACCAAAACTACACAATTTAATAAAAAAAGTATTCTGAGATTAAATTTTTAAACGTGACAAAAGACTCTACAATATTAAACTGATTAATTGTGATGTTACACATTTTCCAGAGAGAATCATTATGAAATTATAATTCTTTAATAGTAGCTTTTGTTCAGTAAGAGTTAAAGTCTAATTTAATTTGTATTTGTCCATAATAATTCTGTATATTTATATAAAACCGTATGCAAGCTAATTTTAAATTTTGCCCAGATCTGATATCGAATGTCGCTATTGCCAGACGGGGATTTCCTCGCATGGGATATGCAGCTTGTTTTGGCGGGCCGATGTTTAACACTCTGCTGGGACTAGGGCTGACTTACGGCATTGCCAGCGCTGTCGATCCTGAACAACAGACGAAGATCAGGATTAGCGATATGGCACCCGGTTGCCTGGCTTTCCTCTTGTATTCACTAGTGGCTACCATAATTTATTTGAGTATCACGGGAGCTATCGCACGTCGTTCTTACGGTGGTCTGTTGTATTCCATTTATTTTACTTTTATTCTCATACAATTTTTAAGCGAATTGCATGTTATACATCCGCTTGGCACTGATCACAGACCTGACGCATAATATCACATATATTTGATATTTATTTAGTACTGCTTTTTCATTTATGTTATATATAAATAAGATCAAATTAATAAGAAATAAAAAAACTATTTATAATTATGAGTCGTCTTCTATCTTTGATACAATATTTCATATATAAGTGCTGCAGGATAAAACATTAAAAAAAAAGTAAAGTATGTAAGTAATATGGAAGAGAACACTTTTCTTTCATGAATTATGTTAAATGAGTCAAGATTATACGAATACAGGTAGAGAGATGCATTTTTAACATGAAACGGAAGGCAAACTTCGTAGGAAAACATTTGGACGCTGGATATACATACATACATACATACATACATACATACATATACATATATACATATATATATATATATATATATATGTATATATGTAGAAAGAGAGAGAAAGAGGGAGAGAGAAGTGAAAAGGCGAGCGAAGGCGAGAGCGACGTCAGGTCGTTTTTAGACATTTCCCCGGAGAGAACGAAGTGTCCCGTTTCCGACCGAAACCGGTTAGTATGGCCACCATAACGCCGAAACGGAAACCACAAGTCATGAGGCGGTTAGTAGTCTTGGGGTACGCGTCACTTTTAAATTTTACATTGCGCTGTATATCATGGTAACCTCGAGTGCTACACAGAGCCGCGTAATTGAATCCGTTATTAGGTGAGGGACACATTTTCTACGTGCAAACGTCCTTTATAACGTTTCTCATTTTCTTCCGAACGCCATAAAAATATGGACGTAAATTGTTTTTACCTTTTTATATATCTGACTTTTCCAACATGTATAATTTTCTTATCTACTATACATGCGCCCTACTTTTGCATTATCTTATTGCTATGATAAATGTTGAATTTGGAAGAGATTAACTCTTTTGCGCTGTCTTTTCTTTAGCGATTTTATAAATGATTACTTTCAATGGAAATGTCGAGTTATTCATAAATCTTTTTAGAATAATTAGTGAATGAAGATAAAGAGCTTATGGTTGACTAAGCTGCTATGGAGAAAATAGATGATAAATCTGTATCTTTTAGTTAATTTGGCATTGAAGTTACTTTAATAGAATTTTAATTGGTTGCATAAAATTTTTCTTTAAAAAAAAAACAAGAAAATAATCTAATTATACATTTAATTTCGAAGCTTTGGAACAGCGAAATGAGGTCTAACAAGAAAACAATTATTTTAATTTTGAACAAGGAATAATGTATTCTTTATAAGAATAAGAAATGGGGAAAAAGAGTCAAGAGGAATAGAAATATAACTTGTTCATTCTCTTTCACACCTTTTCATCCTTATGTCTCTTGTTGTAGATGTTGTCGGAGAGAATCGTCCCTAGCAGTCTCTTTCACCTTGTATACCAAGGTCTCTCTATTGTCTCTATGCAAAAGTTTAATTCCGAACTACCTCTACTTTCCGTTCCCCTTTTTGCCCTATCAAAGTGCCGATAGGACAATGAACAAAGATGGCTTGTCGCGAAGATAGACCAAAGTTTTGCCACTGCAAAATCTGAATCTTCTCTTGTGGTGGTATCTGCGTATGTAGGGAGGAGCTAGAGTTTGCGAAGGAGCTTTTGGGGAAAGACTATTCACGAAATGGCTCTTTTTATATATATATATATATATATATATATATATATATATATAAAGGAATACAAAAGAGAACCATTTATTTTAACCATTTAAGTTAATCTCTTCCAAATTCAACATTTATCATAGCAATAAATTATTAGTTACTATATTGATTTTGAATTTTAAATTTTGATAATGTTTCAGTGTTTATGTTCGACATGCACAGAATCCGCATATCCAACAAAGTAATTCATTACCCTCAATTGATTTGTCGTATAAGCGCGACACCTGTTGTTCCCTATACGCACAAATTGCATTTAATTATGTGCAATTAATGTTGATCTCACTATAAAATGTACACTCCATTTAACATTTATCAAATGTAAAATGTATGTTATCAAATATGGCAGAAAGATAATAAAAATTATACATGAAAAATTTAGAGAGTTGAATATTTATATATACTGATTAAGTTGTACACTTATTTGATTAAAATAAGAAAGCAAGTCAAATAATAGCATCATGAAAAGAAGAAAGAAAGAGAGAGAGAGAGAGAAAAAGACAGCGTTATATTATAAAAATATTTCATAGGTATAAAGAAATATCTAACACAGCGATGTCAAATAATAATATGCTTACACTATATGCACAACATCACGTCTATTTCTAGTCCATGCTCTTTTGTATAAATCGTTTTCAATTATTCAAAAGCCAACGGCATGGAAACTGGATTGGCGTTTCTGTTTCAGGCTGTACGTTTCTCTCCCAAATCTACAGAATTCTTTGTGTACATTTTTATGAAAAATTTTTTATCCTATATTATTCAAATTTTTAAAATATTCTGAACGCGCCTTAGCATTCATTGTCAGCAATGTTGACATTATGTAAAAAATAAATTTTCGTAGAATAAGTACAGTATTTTTTAATGAAAGAAGAATTTGCTGACAAATATTGAATAAGTTCGTGAAAGTAAAGAAAACTTTATCGAACTATATATTAGGGCGCGACTCCCCCTGTCTAGAACGACTGGATCGGTGCCCAACATCCGTAGATAAGAATCCTGTCTAGTCTCTTCCGTGCCAACGTGAGTTAACGACCCTCTCATCCGGATCGCTCGTTCAAGGGTAGCGAACGCAGAAAATATTCAACATTAGCGAATCGGAAAACATCGCAAAAAAAGACATTAATATCTTTCCTATAACGTTATAGATATATTCGTAATGTTACAAAAACTTTTGTAAAATTAATGCGCTTTAAATATAAGTTGTCTATGAATCTAAATCAGAGAGATGCTATCACATAAATATGTAAACATGGGTCACAGCAAATTGAATTATCCAATTCAAACGTTATAATATGTAATAAATTGCAAATCTCTAGATAGAAAGAGAGGCATTCTCTCTTACTTTGTCACTTTTTTCTAAAACACTATTACTACATGTATCGAAACAGTATTGGTGATGGTACTCTGTACTCTAATATAGTTTAATGTTAAATGTTTGCTCAGAGTACACTTCGTCGACATATTAATTATCTATTTTCGCGTAACATTTATGGTATTATATTACTCTCCGGCAATATATATATATATATATATATATATATATATATATATATCCATGTATCATTCATAATAACCGATGAATATGGAATTATCGGCTAATAAATGATTAATTAATCAAAATTAAATATGCTCTCGTGTAAAATAACATGTGATACTTTTCGCAGTACTTCACTTAATACACACGTGCTCCAATTAATCTGCATAGAAAAAATCTCGATGTAATCTCGATTTTCTCTTTATTATCAATTATTTACTTATTTCTCTCCAATGTTTTCCAACGTTCAGAGACTCAATAAAACTGGACATCCGGATATAATGTATAGCATTTCTCTTATTTCAAGGTCTATGGAGTCTCCAATCGATGCTCGATATCAAAATTAAATAGAGTACCTATGATACCATTATTACTTCCGAAAAACTTTTATCATTAATCCGACTAGAAAACTTTAAAGAAAAACGCCGCTGTAATATCTGTCTTGTATTTGCCATCGTTCAAGTTTTTATTCTTACCGCAAAATAACTTTCGGACAATATGTTATGGTTGCAAATCTACTCTCAGTATTTTTATATCGTCAATCACATTCAAACGAAATTTTATTGTACAAGTATAAACAAAAATAAATATACAAATTAATAAATCACTGTAGTAAAATTTTGTAAAAAAATTGACTTTAAAACGCATTTCTTTAAAAATGGATATATGGGAAAATATATTACCGTAATCAGCAATAATACGCAGTGCGTTTATATTGTTTAATTTACAACGCACATGCAAACCGGGTTATACTGAGTTTACAAAAATTATTACGTTATCCAGAACACTTGCATACATATTTACACACTTCTAGAAATAACGATAATAATGGCAATGTCGCATATGTTTCGCTCGATTTAACTTTCGCGTTAATATATGCCACGGGCGATAACGTTTTACAGCATGGCAGACATTTGTTACATACATATTTCAATAATTTGCGCAAATGTGCGCGCTTCGATCCAAAAATTAAATAAAATGTATACACTGTACACATCGCTGTCACAATGGATTTATTCCCGCAAAATTATGCAAAACTATTAAGCAATGCGAGATTCTTGAAAAATTTTTCTGGCTACTTTTTACGCAAGCAAATTTAAAAACTGACATATCTCTCAATATGATACGCACATCGCAACGGTCTCATCTCTCATTTGCCTCCGACATCGAGTAGTTTCAGCCTCCACCTGACGGGATCGTTTGAAATTCTACGAGAAAATATATTGTAGCTAGATAAAATATATTACACTTGTGTGAGATATTATGCTCGTATTACTTGGCAAAATAGGAAACGGTGCAACGGTGATAAACTACGTACTTATACGTAATTCGAATGAGATAGACAGGTTTTTTTCGGTTTTTAGATCGATTCATACCGATGATTTATAACGACAGCGCATTGCTTATACGCCGCAAACTTTTACACGTTGACGGAATTCATAACTCAGGTATTACAAGAAATTTAGCTCGATGTACGAAGGTCATATATGCGGTATATGTGGAACGGCAGTTTGGATTTTGCTGAATCACGATTCCATGAATTATTGACGATAGCTGAACTGGAAATTGATTTTCTGATGTTAGCAGCGGTATCGTATTCGAGCCAAACATTTTTTATTTCCGTTATGTATTGAATGTTTTGTGTTGATGACACAGCTCGACCGTCCACGATATCCGGAAAAATTAATCTCTTTGCTGAAAAATCAATACCCTATACAATATTGCCGTCAATGAATAAGTATACGTATGAATGTAGAGAATGTAACAATTCCGGATATAGATGGATATACGGTATATTCTCTCTCTCTCTTTTTCTCTTCCGTTGAAAA